CTTTATCTCCTATACTAAAGTTTAGTTCTAGTATTAGTTTAGGAGTTTAGAGCCCTATTAGCTTAGGGGACTTTATATAGATCCTTTGTGCTAAGCTAGCTATACTTAGTACCTACGCTAGAGGTGTCTGCTTAGGGGGTTGTGAATTACTAGGCTAGCTAGCCTAATGCTTTATCTCCTCTAGCTCTACCCTACCCCCTAGCTCCTACGCTAGGTTTAGTCCTCCTTGCTTACTAGACTCCTTATATTGCTCTGCTATAATACAAAGCTAATTAAAGATATTAAGCTCTTTATATACTTCTCCTATATTATAGATCTTATCTTTGCTAATAACGTTAACTATCTTTTAAGCCTCTAACTATTAAAGCTACTCTAGATCTTTCTCTTTATAGAAAAGATCCTTATTAAAGGTAACGTTCTGTGTTATAATAATTTAATTAAGTAAGGGGATCTATATCCTATATATATTAGATGCTCTATATCCTACTAGATATCTAATATAACCCTAAGGGTTTACCTTAAAAACCCTCTTGTAACGCCTAGCTGCTTAATCTCTATTAAGGGGGTAAGCTTAACAGCCATAGGCGTATATTCCGCTCCAATTAGGGCGGAGATTAGTAGTTACCTCCCTTATCTGCTCTAGTTGCTACTACCTAAAGTATCTAGTAAACTAACAATCTAGTACTTTATTAGGTAATATTATATTATAAGCATAGGACAGGCTTATATTATAGAGCTAAGTTGCTGCTTTAACAATTTTAGGCTAGAGCTTTGTTAGTAGGTTAGCACTAATCCTTATTTTAATTAATTTTATTATAATCTCCTGCCCTACTCTTTCTGCTCCTCTATTAGGTTTATAGGTATATACAGGTGAGCTCTTGATTTTAATACTATTATTAGCTACCTAGATCTAAAAGCAAGATTCGCCACGCTAAGGGAGCGTTGCAACGTTATTGTCTTGTATAAGCTTAACTATACTAAGCTTATATTAGTTAAGTATTAAGCTCTTAAAATTTTTAAACACCCATATAATCTTATTAAGGTTGTTAGCTTATAGTAGATAGGTATAAAGCTTTCCTAAGTAGTTATACTTTAATACTAAGATCTATTACTTATAAGCTATACCTATTAGTATATTAAATAGATCCTATAATACCTAGTAGTATAGACGTAGTAATCTTTCCCTTGGTTGTCTTAATATAACCTATTAGGCATGTGTAATAGCGTAGTGCTCGCATTTGCTCCTAGGAGTTCCTTTAATCCTAATATTTATTACTAACTTAACTAGAGCTTTAAGCGCCTTAGGTCCTAAATAGCCTAATTATTAGTGCTAAAGCTCCTTACTATTATATCTTAGGTAAGTTATCTAGGATTGTTAGGGTTGTTTAGGCACTATGCTTTAGATTATTTAATAAGGGGTAGAGGGCTTATATTCTAGGAAAGTTAAGTTAAACTTGCGCAGTAACTTAGCTAATACAACGCTCTTCTCTAATAATCTAAACTATAAGGTAGCATCTAGCCTAAGGAACTAAACTCCTACTTTAAGTAATTAAGCTTCTAATATAATATTCACATAAAAACCTTCTACTAACACTACATTAGTGAGCACTAAATCTTCTATTTTTAGACCTCTTAGTCTATTAAGAGCATTAGGGATTACTCTAGTCCCTCTGCCTAAGATTAGAAAAGCTTAAGTTCCTGCTTTAACTATCTTATATTTAACTAATCTAAACAAGCTTTCTTCTAGGTAGCTTATATTATTAACTAGGTGCACTACACCCCTATTATTAAAGATAGTGCTCTTTAATAGTGCGTAAGCTTCAAAGTCTATAGTTAAATAGATCCTATTCATTTTCTCCGCTATTAATATAGGGTTAATTAGTGCCACCTAGATACTACCTAGATAGGTAATCATGCTTACCTTACTACTATAATCCTAATTAATAGGATAGGACTTTATTAGAGCTTTTCTTAACTCTTTAAATTTTAGATTCCTATTAATCTTTTTCTTAATCTCTAATTATTAAGTAGTAGTAAGCTTGTTACCTATATTAGTCTAAGCTTTAATAACGTTTTTATATTTAGGAGGTTTCTATAGGTAAGATCTACTACATAGGCATAAAGACTCCTTCTTAGGTTAGTTAGAAGGTAGAGCTCCTATTATTATAAACACTCTAGGTCCCTTAGAGCTTAATCTTATGTTATTCTCTTAGAGAAGTAATAAATAGATCTTAGTAACCTGTAGGAGGTTATAAGTTAGCTCTCCTATTACTAACTTTTTAATAATCCTTTAAAATATAGTTTAACCCTAATCTAGTAAGATCCTAGCAGATAGAGCTTTAAGATAATCCTATACTATAAGCTATCCTTTAATATTAGGAACGTTGTATACCTTAGCTCGCGTATATAGGATTGTCCACTCCTTCTACTAGTAATTAGCGTCTTAGCTACTTATCTTTGCTTTAGCAAGATAAGCTTTATACTACAATCTTGCTAGTGTTACAGCGCTTAAGTTAGTTAGCGCTAGGTTATTGTAGAGTACTTAGATAAGTGCTTAGAGGGTTACTCTTCCTTAATTAATAAGCTCTATATAGGCTAGAGTAAGGATCCCTTAATCTACTATATTATTAACCTATATAAAGAGGTTCTAGATTGCTAATAACTTTAATACCTAATCTAATAAGCAGGCTTAGTACTATACTATTTAGAGTTTATACTACTTGCTTATTATATTAGATAGCGCGATATCTGTTAGCATGTTAGGCTTAATAGGTTTATTCTTAAAGTGGTTTTTAGCATCTAGAGCCTTAGGGTCTACCTCTACCTAGATCCCTTTAGTTAGGGTATAGTATCTAAATTAAATGTACTAGGTAGGCTAGTTAGTTAATCTAGTAAGTAGGATATCCCCCTTTAGAATTTAGTTGCTTATAGTAGAAGAGTAATAAGTAAGCTTCTACTTAAGAAATAGTATAAAGAGTAAAGCTTGCTAGCTTAGTGTCTAAGTTAAACAATACGCTTAAATAGATAGGATAATCTTTAATAAGGTAAAGCGCGAACTAGGCTTATAACTATAGAAATTTAGATTACTAAGGTTAGGAATAATTTAGGAGATAGATTATTAGATTATATCTACTACGATTAGACTTATATATATAGAGCTTTAGCTACCCTTACTAGAAGGTGAATAATTAGTAAACCTTCCTTACTAGAGCTCCTGCTTTTTGTTAGGCACTTAGTAGTAAGCTAGTAGTTGATTAGATAGTGGGTCATACAGGGGTATTAATCAGGATTAATCGGATCAAGATGCTCCGTGATCCGGTTGATATCCCTCCTGCAACACTTTCTATTAGTAAATAGGCTTTTAAAAGTAGCTAAACTAGATACCCTTCCTTTGCCTTTATCTAATATTTTAGTAGTTAATAAGAATAATAAATCTTTTCTTTAGGGGGGGGTTTGGTTGTAGGAGGATATTAGCTTTACCTCTAATTCCTCTAGGCTTTTAGTAGTCTCTAGGTCTCTACCTTAACGCAATCTAACGCGATTTTTCTAAAGGTAATCTAGCACTACTTATAGGTCTAGAAGTCTAAGCCTATAGGCTTTGGTTATTAGAAGTTCTAATAGCTATTCTAACTATAGAGTTGCAGGGTTAGATAGCTACTAGAACTAAATTAGTAGCTTAAAATAATAATAAGTACAATATTCTTAAATGCTATTACTAGCTAGGATAATATTCTTCTTATAATATAATAACTTAGGTAGGTAGGGCATCTAAAAGGTATCCTATACAACTTAAAGGTATATAGGAGTGCGCGTCTGTATAGAAAAGGATAAGATTCCTACACCTATAGGTCTTGTACAAAAGGACAAGAAGAACATACCTATCCTAACTATAGGCGAGCTGTTCTCTATATACATTAGTAAGTCGGGCCTTTATTAGGCCTGACTTGGCATAGAACAATAGGCAGGCAATTCTGCCTTATTGTTACAAAAAGGATATTAGCTTTGCCTTTAATTCCTCTAGGCTTTTAGTAGTCTCTAGGTCTCTACCTTAATGTAATCTAACGCGATTTTTTAAAGGTAATCTAGCACTACCTATAGGTCTAGAAGTCTAAGCCTATAGGCTTTAGTTATTAGAAGTTCTAATAGCTATTCTAACTATAGAGTTGCAGGGTTAGATAACTACTAGAACTAAATTAGTAGCTTAAAATAACAATAAATACAATATTCTTAAATACTATTACTAGCTAGGATAATATTCTTTTTATAATATAACAACTTAGGTAGGTAGGGCATCTAAAAGGTATCCTATATAACTTAAAGGCATATAGGAGTGCGCGTCTGTATAGAAAAGGATAAGATTCCTACACCTATAGGTCTTATATAAAAGGACAAGGAGAATATACCTATCCTAACTATAGGCGAGCTGCTCTCTATATACATTAGTGAGTTAGGCCTTTGTTAGGCTTAACTTGGCATAGAACAATAGGCAAGCAATTCTACCTTATTGTTACACTTACCTCTCCTTTAAGATACTAAATACTATTATTAACGCTTATTACATTCTCCCTTAAGGCCAGTCTATAACACTAAGTCCTAATTAATATTCCTAATCTATACCCCTATATAACCTACTATCTAATTAACTACTAGCTTACTACTAAGTGCCTAATAGAAACAGGAGCTCTAGTAAGGAAAGTTTACTAATTATACACCTTCTAGTAAGGGTAGTTAAAGCTCTATTCAAATAAGTCCTATTGTAGTAGATATAATCTAATAATATATCTCCTAAATTATTCCTAACCTTAGTAATCTAAATTTCCACAATATATAATAATAATACATCCTAAAAGTTAACTTAACTAGGTTAAGCTAGTTCTTACCTGTACTTGACTAATGTACTCTTGACTTAACTAACTGTTAGTATAGTAGTATACCTAAATACGCCAAGCGCCAGCATCTGTTCAACAGGCTTGTGATTCGGACGAATATCATATTTGCCGATGTTGACTCCGCTGTAAAAGTGTTGTAAGCTCATCACGCATTAGCGGCCGGCCGGAAAAACCCCGCGGCGGTCGGCTGTTTGGCCAACTCTGATAGGCTGCCCATGACCACCTACATGATATCACCGGGAACCGCCAACACCACAGCACCAACAACAGCCACGACACGACCCGTCCGGCCCTGTCCTCGGCCCTCCTACCTCAGTTTCCCAACACAGGTCAAAGCGCATTGAGTACGCATCTGACCAGGTCCTGGCCCACCATTCCCTCAGACGTCATTCTGATTCCTGGCTTTACCCCATCAATGAGTTCTCGTAATTGCCCAGGCAGTATCACCATGGCTCTGGAAACGCCTTTACTACGAGTCAGTAGACCTGTAGCTGCCTGCTCACGATGTAGAGCTGCCAAAGTCAAGTGCGATGGCAAATTACCGGCATGCACAGCTTGCGAGAAGTCCAACCGGGCGTCCGAATGCTCGAGCACCAATGACCAGTTTGCACGAGGCAAGGAAAGAAGTTATGTCGCCACGCTTGAGTCAAAAGTCGAGCGACTTGAGAAGAGAATAGCAGAGGCAAAAGCAAGGCGGAAGTCGTCCACTGTTTTGATGCTAGACATGTCAGAAACATCAACTCCGCGACGCTCCTCTGTCGACACGGTAAAGCCAGCCAGACCCATCAGCAAACGAGCTGCAAGGCGAAAGGAAGCCGTAGACATTGACAATCTTGTCTCTGACTTTGGCTTGCTGTAAGTTGCGTCTTCAATTTGGTTAATCATAGGGCTGACTCAGCAGCGCTGTCAATGCCACCGCGCGTGACTTCTATGGCTTCACCACTGAAATGTCTTATGCCCGACTTATCCAATCTGCCTGCACTAAAGAGCCACTTCCAGCAGGTCTTCACAAAGCTTTGCCCCCACGGTATGCTGCCACGCCACTAATCCAACATTATCTCAACAACGTCTTCAACCTGCTTCCAGTCTTTGAAGAAGCTTCCCTGTACTCTTCTGTAGATGCAATTTATCAAAAAGGATCGGAAGCTACTGCATGGGATCGGTGGAGTGTGCGCATGGTCCTAGCAATAGCTAGCTTGTCACAGTCTGATCAAAGAGGCGACACCCACTACTCAGATGCTGTTGGCCATGTCAACGCTGCCCTTGAGAATGCGGAAGAAGTCTTACATCCTGGATACGTCTCCAGCATACAAGCCCTTCTGCTTTGGACAATATATGCCATGATGGACCCCCACCATTTCGACAGCTGGACATTGATCGGAGCGGCCTCGAGAGCCATGGTTGATCTTGGCATCCACCAGGATCCGTCCCGCAATGTCGCCATCGCTAAAGGCAAGCTTGAAGTTAGGAGACGGGTATACTGGTGTGTATACGCACTTGACCGGTAAGAATTAGTTTCGTTATCATAGTACCTATCACTGAAAGCCCTAGTTCTACCTCTTTGGTCCAGACACGGGCCTTCTCATTCTCGGACGAGGCCGCCAATGTCTCTTTCCCATTCCACACATCTTCTGGATCACCTAAGTTCTCTTCCCCACAATCACAAGTGTTCCAACAGTCGTTTGACTCTGCACTAGACCTCTTCCGGATACGGGAGATTCAGTCGGAATGGTACATGGATCTATTCCAGTCTGGCCGTGAACCCTGGCAGGATCCATATCCGTACATGTGGAAACAGTATACGAGGATGTCACGGTGGTTCGAAGACATGCCGCAAAGTACACTGCCCGCTATAAAGTCTTTCTTTGAGCTTGAACTGTTGTGTAGCTATGTATACATACTCTCGCCCAGCCCAAGAATACCGCACATCCACGAGTACGCCCAGCGGCTGATCTTCGAGCATTGCATCACTTATGCCAACAACATATTGATCCTGCTCAACAAACCATCCAACACAACCAAACCTCCAACCACGTTCTATGATGCGATGCGCTGCTACATGACAGGTAGACAGTTTGTTGATGTCTTGTCGCGCAACATGGACGTGATCCTGGACCCTCGACCGGCCGTACCTCCTACGCCATCTGCTTCCCAAGGTGACTCTGGGGATCCTCTTGCGCCGCCATCACAAGTCAGCGCTCCTCCTTTTCCATCGCCTATCATAGATGAAGGTCAAAACTCAATATTAGATCCGACGGCGCGAGCGCTTAATGCAATCAACAATTTCATGTCCGCGCTATCCAACTTGGGGCTGCGATTCGGCTTTACACATTGGCGTGATCGCTTCCAACGCGAGTCTGCAGCTTTGTCCTCTCAGCTTTACCAACGAAACAAAATCTCACCGCTGCCCTCACCCCTGAACCAGCAGATATCACAACTCGCCACATATCCAACACACTGGGTTCCTATTCCGTCTACATCACCAGAGGCATTGCAATTTATGTATCAAACTCTGCCTACGACGCCGCCATCCTTATTCCCGCAGCAGCCCAGCCCTTATTCTAGTTCCATGTCTTACACTGGCAACCCTTTCGATTCTCAGAGTCTCAGCCAGAGTGACCATCAGCCAACAGCGTCATATGAAGGTACCAGTCCAAGACAGCATCACCATACACTGTCTTATGATGGCACAAGTCCAGAACAGCAACCACAATGGACCACACCCTCCCCACAGCCAATGCCAGACATGCCACAGCCAAGCGGAGGTCAGAAGCGGAGAGCGCTCGTCTATGGCTCTGCACTGCCGAGCTCCGATGCCGCAATCGCTGCACCACACGACAATTCAGGCTGGTGCCAACATCAACAGCAGACGCAGCAATCAGAGCAACAAGACCAACAGCAGCTCTCCCATGCGTGGACACAAGCACCATCACGTGACACGGACGCATGGGACCGGACCCTGTCTACGCAATCCAACAATTCAAACGATCCCTGGCAGGAGCAACAGTCAAAACAAGGTAGTTGGCAGTGATTTTGGACTCGGATTGTACAGCACGCGCGGTACAAGTCTAAATCCGTGGTCATAGCCTAGAGCTTGTACCTCGCCTAGTGTACACCAGTCTAAGCTAGTAAGCACGCACGCGCGCGTGTCAGTGGTCTGACGGTTTAAATCCTCCTTTGCCAAAATTGGTCGCGTCTTGTGATTTTTATTCTGCCATTGCTGTTGCTGTTCCCCTTTTCCTGTCTCGTGATGTATACAAGTTACCAAAGCGAGAAATCGTTGTACTCCAATTGTACGCTCACGTACGGCACTATCACGTACTGCACTGTCACGTAACCCATCTATCGATCTATCAATTCACCCATTCATCTATCAATCCCAACAACGCCCAACTCTTGCCACCTAGGAAACCTAAATCAACACGGACAAATTCCACGCTCAATCATTGCAGGTTTCATAGCTGCTATCTTGAGACATGACATGGTAATCTGTCGTGAGAGTCAATGGGCGTGGTCTAGAGGCCACATACAATGGTTTCCCATCGCTAGCGGGCTAACTATTGAATTCACGCAACGCTCATACTTTACGCTCTGCACTTTGTATAACGAACATGTCACCATTTCAGGGGCTGTTTGTTTCGAATCGCTTTCCTTTTCCACAAGACGGTGTCATGTCTCATAACTCATAGTCATTTTTTGATGGTTGGATTTGTATCTGCAATAAGAGAGGTGGCATAATGCTCGCTTGCTGGTTTCGCTTGCTGGTTTCGCTTGCTGGTTTCGCTCGCTCGCTTGGTATGCTACGCTATGCTACGCTAGGTCTCGTCGTCTTGTCTCTGTCTTGCATTGATATCTCCTGGCCTTGACTTTCATCGCCTCTCCTCTCCTCTCACGTAAGTTATTCCGAGTCATTGCGAGTCCGAGGTCTTGATGTTTTTTTTCGTTGCCCCCTGCCACCCTTAACCCCAATTCCAGGGTTAAGAATATTCCTTTGTCAATCTCTCGTCTTGTGCCGGTTGCGCACACTGCGAGAAAACATTGGGTATTGGACTCGATATCCGCTTTAGGGGTTCGCGAGTGCAAGACAGGCATCCACTGCGAGTCCGACACTAAAAGATCGAGTCGGTCAGAAAGCAACTTTATGTTCAAAGGGACGCAATTCTCAGGCTTCACGCTGGCATCTCGAGGGTATGAGAGGAGAGGAGAGGAGATGAAAGTGTCTGTATCGGAACATCGGGATATGGGTACGGATACAGGTATGGCAGGAAAAAGAAAGTACAAACATACCGTCCCTCCTTCAACCTCACCACGTCATCAATTACCTCCCTCTCCAACTGTGGAAACATACCTGCCAGCGTCTCCACAACTACATTATGCTCCTGTCTATGAATCCGGCGCGCCTCCTCTACCTCGGCGCTCGCCTGGCGGGCCGCGGACTCTTCCGCTGTCATGCGTGGTCTGTGCTCCTGCTCCTGCTGCAGTTGCTGTTGGTGGTGCTGTTTCTCCGAGACCTGCGAGACTGCGGCTTGACCAGGGAAGGATTCGTGCGAGGGGTGGGAAGGGAGTGGTGTGTGTCGTGGTGTTGAGCCGGGCTGGGGTGTTGAGGCGGGCCCAGAGGAAGAAGCGGCATTGGAGGTAGTGAAAGTATCGTTATCAGAGAAAATGCGGCCGATGGTGCTAAGTGGTCGTTGTATGGTTCGAAGGAGGCCTGCAACGGCGGCGTTTTCTTCCTCTGGGGGCTCAGTTTCAGATTTTCGGTCCTTGACGCTGGTGGAGCGTCGGGGCCCTGCACGTTCGGCTTCCATGCTGTTCCGCTGGGTGAGTTCGGGACGGAGTGGTGTTGTTTTTTCGGGAATGTGATGGTAATGCGGCGAGGGCATGCGTTTGTGACTCGAGGGTCTAGGCTGAGAGGTGGGCTGCAAGAGTGATGCGTTGCCTTCCGGCGGGTTTGAGGCCGAGGACGAAGAGGCTTCCTCGATTGCGTGGCGTTCGGCGATCGCTGACACTGCAGCTTCGACATTCTTCTCGAATTCCTCGTCACTAATCGTCAAAGATGTTCGGTCCAGACCCTCAATAAATTGTACAGCACCCATGAGAGAAGAGATATAGTACCCTGCTTCCCCACCGAGCTTGTCCTGGTTTCGAAAGCGGAGGATGTATTGCAGGTTGGAGACGAGGTGGTCTGGATTTGCTTGTAAGACTGTGTATATGAGCAGTGGAACAAAGGCATCGGCGGATTGATCGGAATTCGAAGTGCGCAGGTAGCCGAAGATAACTTTGCAGCAGTTGAGGATGCATATGATCTTGTCACGAGGGGCACGATAGGATTTGATCTTGAGCAATTCTTGTTGCGCCAGATGCAAGAACTTGCGCCCCTTTCCTCCTACAGGCTTGATGTCGAGATGTGATTCATTGACCCACTTGTATATGCGTATCTTTTGAGCGAGTACCTCGTCGCGCTCAACGTCTTCTTGATGTTGGCCTCGTCGACCGGGCCCTGGCGGGTCTTGTCTCCGCCGGCCTTTCCGCGGCGATGACGGCTCTGGCGGTGGTATTGCTGGCGAAAATGTCTGGGTGTATAGGCGGTTCATGACGAGCTTCTCCATGCCTTCGCGTGCATTGTCAAATTCGGCATCCGACACGGTTCGCCAGACTTCACATTGTGCCATCTTCTTGCTAATAAACTCGAGAAAGTCGCTGATGATTTTGACTTGCTCGTGGACCATCCATTGTTTCTTGCCAAACTCGAAGAGGAATGAGCGGAGGAACTTGGCGACGGGGTCTGCAGTCCGATGACGTAGCTGTTCAAGAAAGCGGTGAAAGTCAAACGGCAGGTCTGGCTCGGGTTCTGGGGCAGGTTGGGCTGGCTTGTACTTGGAGGCGTGTGCACTGGGCGAGGAGGGCTCTGCAAAGGAAGTGCTGGTGCCCACGCGGTAGAGCGAGGATGTTCGTGGCGGCGGTGGGGATTGGATTGATTGTGTCGAGGCGGCGTCTTCGCTGGGGGTGGGGAGTGGCTTGTCGACGGGCGCGAGGCTCGACTGCCGTGGTGGAAAGGCGGGTGAGGCAGATTCGAGGAGCGGGCTGGCCAACTCGAGCCTCGGTGACATAATCTCGTCTGCACCGGGGCCCCCACTGCTCTCAAACTGCTCCATAATGCTCTGAATCTCCAACTGTGAGCCTTCTACGGAGTCATCTGTTGCCTCGGTTGTGGGTGGATAGCTCGAAGCTGCATTGTCCTCCGAGTTCCTCTCACTCGACATGCCCTGCGACAAGGGCGAGGCAGCTCGACTAGGAGCATTGCTGGTAGACAGATACTTGTCGTCCTTAGGTGGAGGCGGTGGAGGAGAGGGCGAGCGCACGTCCTCTTTGCCAGCAACTGGTGTCGTTGACGGTTCTGGGGGCGGTGTCGAGGCTGCAACCATAGCTTCTGTCTTGGCCGTGAGCTCTTCTACCAACTCAGCGTCTGTCTGCTCAGCGGCTGCCATTTCTTGCTTTCCCGTGGCATCAGATGCCTCCTGTTCATCAGTCTGTTTGGATTTGACTTTCTTTTGCCCATCTTCGGGCGCTGTTGCCTCTGTGCTTGCATCTTCTGTATGCCCCTCGGTTCCAGCTTGAGCAGACAGTCTCGCGTCGCTGGAGCTGCTATCTGTATGCCCGAGTGGTTGTTCCTCATTGCTGGCCATGGTGGGTGTTGCTGCACCCTGTTCTTTGGTGTTCACTTCATCCTGCCTCTCTACGTCTTCCACCTTCTGTTCTGGCCTGGCATTTGGGGCTTCTTCCTCGAGTTGCGGTGTCGCCTTTAGGGGAGACATGGACCGATGGATGAGGCGGAAAAGCACAGCTATTCGTGGGGTTCAGGAATAGTCCATGGGGAGTGTGCGAGGACGGTAGTTCAAACTTGAAATACCTTTCACGTGCGGGATGATTCTTTGGAGATGCGGACGTCTTGTGCCAGTGTCAGTCTGGACTTCTTGAGTCTTGGTCGGGGGACGTGACCCTTGCCATGCGCCTATGGCCTTTCGGAGCGTTTGGCCGCCGAGTCTCCGGCTGCTCTCCCCGCCAACGTTTCTTCACGCCTCACCACCACCATTCACCCCTCCCCCCCCCCCCGTCCCTGTCAACCTTGTCATGTGCGGTATCTTCTGCTCTCTCAGCTGTCATGGCTTTATATCGCCTGACGCCAACACAACCCAATTACTGGTGAACCGTGGTCCGGACAGCACAGGCCAGCTCCAGAAAATGATAGACACGCGTTGCTCGTCGCGTGTTCACGCGACATTCCTCTCCACCGTCCTGGCCTTGCGTGGTACCTCTATCGTCCAGCAGCCTCTTGTCGATACTGCCGCTGGCTCAGTGCTATGCTGGAACGGTGAAGCTTGGAGTATCGCGGGCGAGACTATTCATGGCAACGATTCCGAAACCGTGCTCAAACGACTTGTTGAAGCCTGCACCGTCTCTGCAGCCGAATCAGCAGCAGCCGTAGTCGCCCTCTTGTCTTCAATCCAGGGACCTTATGCCTTTGTATTCTACGATGCACGCCACGAGCGCGTCTACTATGCACGTGATTGCCTAGGCAGGCGCTCGCTGCTCAAAAAAGACACCGCTGATGGTGCTCTTGTCCTCTCAAGCGTCTGCGACAATGCTTCTGGCGATGCATGGACCGAAGTCGAAGCAGATGGCTTGTACTATGTAGATCTTAGCCTTGTAGAGGAGACCAGGCCAGACTTTATCCCAACACACATGCCTCATCGTCGTGCAAATCAGCCCGAAGATGCAACCCTTTCCTTTGTAGGTAAGTCATTCATGTTCAGGGCATTGCTGATGTCGGCAGCCATTATCTTTTCCACTCATCAACCGAGAAACTTCCACTCTACCACCTCACGTGCATACTGAAACTGTGGAGCTACTCAAGAGCTCACTACAAAGGTCGCTTGCACTCCGCGTACAACACGTCCGAGAAGGTGTTCCATCCGGCCCAGATGGCCTCCAGTCCGACGCACAAGTAGCCATACTTTTCTCTGGTGGCCTCGACTGCACCATACTAGCACGCATGTGTCATGACCTCTTACCGCTAACAAATTCCCTCGATCTTCTCAACGTCGCCTTTGAGAATCCTAGGATCCACGCAAATCTCGAGCATGGTGCTAGTCCATATGAACTGTGTCCCGATCGTGTGACTGGTCGAGCCTCACACGCTGAACTCATGAGCACATGTCCTGGCAGAGTCTGGCGGTTCATCGAGGTCAATGTGCCTTACACTGATACTCAAGCGCATCGTTCTACAGTCGTGGCTTTGATGCATCCCCACAATACTGAAATGGATCTATCTATATCATTTGCGCTATACTTTGCTGCGCGTGGAGTTGGCGTGACCCGAGTGATCCACCAGGACTCACTCGGCCCATACTCGTCGGCTGCACATGTCCTCCTTTCTGGTCTTGGCGCTGACGAGCTTTTCGGTGGCTACCAACGACATAGTACAGCTTACGCTAGACGGGGCTATCCGGGACTGATTGAAGAACTCGAGCTAGATTTTGCTCGTCTTGGAAAACGTAATCTTGGACGAGACGATCGCATCATAAGTAATTCCAGCAAAGAGGTTCGCTTTCCTTTCTTAGACGAGGAGTTTATTGCTCTGGCGCTTCGACTCGAGGTCACTGCCAAATGTGACTTCGGCAGTCCCCAAGATGAACATTCTGATGATCTATTGGTCATGCTTGAGCCCGCGAAGAGAGCGCTTCGTTTGCTGGCTTGGAATCTAGGTATGCACAAAGTTGCCAGGGAGAAGAAGCGTGCTATACAATTTGGCGCCCGCACCGCCAAGATGGAAACGGGCAAAACAAAGGGCAAGCACGTGCTCGTATGACAGGTAAGCTATCAGAACTTCTCCTATTCAGCGCAATGATTACAAAAAACACAAATGGAGAAGACAACCGGGATCATCCTCAGATCGCTGTCTTCCATCAGAGGTCGACACATCTTTCCGTCCCAGGGTGTCGTTGATTGCTTTCTTGAAAGGCAAGTCTGAGCAGAATGACGATTATGGAATGAATACTGATCTTTTCTGTTGACCCTGACTAACAAGACTTTGGCAGATTTTACAATACAACGAGAAGACATTTTGATATGTTAAACAATTTCTCCACCCAGCCCCTTTTTCAATTCAGCTTCACCTTGAGATAACTACTACTACTTATCAAAACAGGAAGGCACTTGTTAGTGCCAGTGACGCAAGCAGCGGCAGTACACAAAGGATCAGCATCGTCATGGCCTTGGGCCTTCTGTCAACTTCCAGACTGGATCCACCCGAGCCACTTCCGAATTTGAACTCTTTCTTCTTTGAAAGCCTGATGGCTGGGGTCGATGCTTGTACTGGAGTTGCAGTTGTGACCATTGGCATCAGGCCGAGATTATTATCATCCTCGAGTATGTCTGTCGGTGGGGCGCCGGAGGTCTCTGAACCGACTGCAAGCTTTGCTAGAAGCAGCGGGGCTAGCATCTGTGGAAGTGGGTTAAGCATCAGAGGCCACATGGTATCAAAACTAATTGTCTTGGGTCCTGCACCCTTTGATGCGTGCGCTGCAACTCCAGCACCTCCAGCACCTCCAGCAGCCGCACCGGCCCCTCCTCCCTTCTTTTCCACGAGCTCGATTCCCACCTCTTGTGTTCCTGACGTTGAGACTGCCGTGCTCAGAGTTGTAGTTGGCTTTAAGCTGGTAGTCATGTTCGCGTGGATGTCGTCATCTCTATCATCGATTTCAGGCTTTACAGCACTTACCTCAGATAGAGCAGCCGCAAATGGAGCCAGCAACAGCAGAACATATACCCATATGGAAGCAGATAGTCCTCCACTTCCACTCATCTGCGGATCTTCAGATCGTTAAATAGTCGTCACAGCCGAACCCTCCTCCACAACCCGAGCCCCCTCATCCTCACGCTGCTTCCCTTGAATCGACGGCGACATACCCACGGCGACCCCACCCTCTAGCGCCCCACCCATAGGCCAACACTGGTTCCCCTCCGTGCTCCGCGCACATACCAAACCCGGATCACAACACATGTCGCCACAGCAGTCCGAGCCCGCAGGACATGTACCAAAACCCCCACCAGGAATAGCACAGCACTTGGACACGGCCGTGTCGATGCATTGGGTTCCACAGGCGGTAATGAAGGCGCAGCAGCCGTGTACGATGGTGCCGTTCGTACTGGGCATGTCGACGCACCTGGGAAGGTGTGTCGCAGATGTGGATGTCGCTGTAGCGCTGGTTGTGGTGGGGTGTAGGGAACGTGGCATGTAAGGACTGTCGGAGCGAACGCTTCAGATCGAGTATGTACCCGACACCATCACCACTGCTGCTAAGGCGGGTAGGATTGAGGTTGGCGATGTTGACGCACGCAGTTTTTTGAAAGTGGGTTAGTGGTTTGCGCATGTCGATGGTGGTTATGCAGAGAGAATGCGATGTTGCGCTGGAGAAAGGGGGAATATAGGCGGGAGGAGTGGGGAGGGATCATTGGTGAGTAAGTGTTGTGTGTAACTGTTATGCGTTTTTGTCAGTCAGCGTCACAGAGGTGCCGTCAGAAATCAAACAAATCTTGAGGTTTGACGTATTGGGTTCTTTGAGTCTGTTTGTGTGTATATATATATATATGTGTGTGTGTGTGTATAAACTCGCAGAGGCTCTCAGCTAGGGGCATGTATACGACATGTATCTGTTCTATCGTTCTACCGAGCTGGGCTTGTATGCATGATATTCGGACATGTGGATTGCAACAGGCAACTCAAGATGCAAGGCCAGGGAAATCCTGGTGAATAGGTCTTAGTACTTGTACTTGTGCGCCTCTGCTCTTCTACAGCAAAACTGGGAAGCCCGAGTTGGAGCGGCATGATTAGAGGTGGAGTGGAACATGTAGTAGCGCTCTAGTGTTGTGATAAGGTCTAGTAGCGGTGGCCCATCACTACGCAGCGAATCACATCGAGCCATGCACACAAAGAGAGAAGATTCCAGCCACATCATGCACCGCCACCGCCACCGCCACCATGACGCAGATCGTGCCCGCTGGTCAGGTATATATGAATGTCTTTTGACTTTCTGACTTGCTTAGTACCTTGCCTTTTACTATTGCTTTGGTACTTCCCATTCAAATCATCATCACTATTTGCTCAAGTCACGGGGACACACAGTCTCAAGCCAAACAGACCACAACCCCAACAAGCACTCTCACACCCCATCCATCCATTCCTCCCCACCACAATCCACACTTGATAAAATATACCACCTCCTCCATCGCCACTGCCACCATGCCAGTTCCCCATCCAGCAAACTCCACTTCCACAACGACAACTGCGAGCGCACCTGCATCCGCCGTCGCACCAGGCGCGAATGCAAATGCACAGGGCAACCAGAATGTAGCTAGCGCGGGGCATGTGCAAGGACCGCAGGGGGACAAGACGGCGCAGGAGCTGGAGAATGAGAGATTGTACGAGGAGAGGATGGAGGAGGAGTATGCTAAGAGGGAGGGGGGTGCTTAGGGGGTTGGAAGAGGGCTGGAAGAGGTGTGGAGGGTGTTGGGGATAATGTCAAAGGGGCAATTCACTCGACGCTGTGTTTGGTGGAAGCGACTTGTTGGAAGGGCTTTCGGGGGTTGGTGAGGATATTCCCTACTAGGATAATACTACAATACACATCTCCTCTCCCCTCCTCTCCCCTCCTCCCACCCCATCACAGCCCCTCCAACGCCCTCGCCACCACCTCCCTCGGCCGCTCCCCCATCTCCATCCCCAACGCCAACGCCCTCCCCTCCCCCGACATCTTCCCCCACGTCTTCCTCAAAATCCCAATAATCTTGCCCTCATCATGCTCGCGCTCAAACTGCTCAAACTGGTCGTCCAAAAACACAAGACAGGCCACATCCTCGAGCACCTGCGTCTCCTCATCCGTCTTCAAATCTTCCTTGCGAATCAGCGCGCCCACCCGCTCGCTCGTGGCTTCGTCGTAGCCTGCCGAGACGCAAATGTCGCGCACGAGTGCTGCTTGCCGTGTTTTGAGGAAGCTGCGCCAGGCGTGGTAGCCCGGGCGCGTCATGGGGTATGAGGAGCGGGGGACTTCCCAGCGCCGAAAGTGCTGGGCGCGGATGGCGAGGCGGAGGGGCTCAGGGGCAGAGGGGCAGCGGAGAGAGAGGTAGTGGGTGCATTTTTGGGCGTAGTGGAGTTCGTAAGGGATGACTTCGCCAGCGATTGTGGTTTTGGTGGGGTCGAGGGCGTGGGCGGCGTCGATTGCGCTGAGTGCTTTCTCGTAGGGGGTGGTCATTTTTTGGGGGGGGATTTGGTCGAGGGCTTTGGGAGGGCAGGGGGTGTGGTCTTTGACGGGAGATTTAAGGGGGGAGAAGGGGCGAGAGGATTGGAGTTGTGGACTATGGTGAAGGCATACCTAATGTGTGGAGTTTGATTTTGGTGGGAGACGCGGATGGTAGTCTGCTGAACTAACTTAGTGGATGTGATGCCCCGCGTGTTGATGACGTTATCAAGCACTTGCTAACGTTACCCATCTTTCCATCTTCTTTCACCACTGACCATGTCAGCCAAATTCTTCTTTAGGTTGACGATGTGTGAATTGCCTTTGATCTTCTGTCTAATCTAGCTGAAAATGCCAGGCAGAAACCTCCTTGGATGCAACCGTGTCTAACCAATCCATGCCTTTCGCGCGCCCCAACTCCATCCATGCTAATGCTAAACAATGCAAATGCAACAATCATAACACAACACCCTCACACCTCCCCCCCCCTGGAACTAGCATCGTCGCTCATCGCACAGCCAACAAGCCCGTCACGCTCATCCATCGCCTTCGCGTTCTGCACAGCCGCTTCAACAGCATCATGCAAATCAATGTGAAAGAACGGCCGATTGACCCCATAAACAGGCTGATATCCTTCCTTCTCCGCCAACGTCCAAGGCTTGCTCTCTTCCGCATTACTCTCAACATCGCCCCTCTTGCTAGTTGTAGCCGTCTGTGAAGCCAAAACCTCGCGTTGCTCCTCCTCCGTTGCACTGGCCACCGCCGTCCCAACCGTATACGCAGGACACCACGTGCCCAGACTACCGTCCGTGTCCACCGCCGGAGCGCCAAAGCCAGCAAAGGCCAAGGCTCGACGTGTCCAGCGGTTGTGCACGCCTGCAAAATGCCACTGGACGACTGCAGGAGCGGCGTAGCGATCCAACGTGTTGCGCAGATCAATCAGGCCATTCAAGCTCGTGACGTCGATGGCGTTGACGGTGGAGAAGTCCAGAACGACGGCGCGAAGTAGAGGTTGGGTGGAGGTTCTTTCCATGTCGTCTTTGCTGGGCGGTGTTTCGCACCATAGGCGGTCGCTTGCGCGGATGCCGTCGTCGAAGCAGGTGCGGCGGGTGTGAGATTGGATGTACGTTGTTAGGTGGTCGATGTGGTACGCTTGGTTTATGTAGTTGAAGTTTTCGTTGAAGCGGTAGATGAAAACGCCCGGGTATGCAGGCTCGACTCGTATCTTGGGGTTGCGGGTGCGTTGGGCTTGGTAAGGGAGGTAGACGTTGCGATAGGTCGGTTGCTCGTTCGCATGCTCGGTTCGTGAGTCGCACGAATGAAGGGAGTCGGTTTCAGGGTTTGATTCTGTGGATGGCGGGCTGTCAGGTGTGATGCGTGTGACTCGGACAGAACCACGGAAGTCGCCTGGGCTTTTTGCCATGCGGACTAATAGCATGGCAAAAGATAGACCCACGCTGACATATATTGCCGTCTCTAGGCTGCTGAAGAATGCAACGACGACTCCACAGATCCATATGATGAGCTCGAATGGAGACATTTTCCAATATCGGTACAGTGACTTGGGAGGCGTGATCAGATTGATCGTGCTGTGTATAATCAGACCAGCAAGCGCGGCGTTTGGAATATAGTAGAATACGCTCGTCAAGGCATACAGTGCCAACACCAATACCAATGCACTGAAGAGACCAGCGAGTGGGGTGCGCACCGCGGCTTTTGACAGAACGGCAGAAGCACCAAAGGACCCAGTGCAGACGTAACCACCCACAAAAGGACTGAGTATGTTGGCGGCACCTTGGGCAATCATTTCCTGCGAAGGGATGACGGTGTAATTGAAGATGCGACCGAATGACTTTGCGATGGCAATGTGCTCGACGATGAGGATTACGACAATGGCAGGGAGCTCCGATGCGACGAGGCTGAATAATTCTGCATCCATGGGCGGTACACCAGCGTGACTGAACCCCTTTTCGATGTGCCCAACGATGCGAAACTTCTCCTGGCCAGAGGGTGTGGTGCGATGTACCAGCCAGCTGATAAACGTGTAGAGCAGTATGGTAAATGTAAGTCTAAGAGATGATATAAGTGACCACGTCCGTTTGTGCTGTGGCTGACGTCGCTCCATCTTGGCACAAATGTCTCGGATGAGATATAGAAGAACGATGGAGGTTATGCCAATCGCTGCATCCAGTTTACTTCGGTCTAGGTTCTTCAATACGTTGATGTAAACCTTATAAGGTGACTCGCGCGTATTGATACCTGTGATCCCGAGAACTGTCGGTAGCTGTGTAGAGATGATTGTAATGCTGGCTGATGTGACAAAAGCAGATATGGGAACATAGGGTATGAACTCGATCAGCCAGCCTAGACGAAGCATTCCGAGGACAAATAATATGGCCCCGGCGAGGAAGGAAAGGGCGTGTGCAATGTCCTCCGCCTTGTAGACTCCAGGATGCTCAGCTTCAACCTTGCTAATGACACTGCCGACCAAGAGTGATCCGACAGCCGTTGTCTGTGACATGTTAGCCTTCATGGGCTCCGCCACATCATTTCCCGAAGTAATTAGACACTTACGCCGATGACAATATCTTTGGATGTACCAAAGATCCAGTACAAACAGGCCCCAGTAAACGTAGTGTAGAGTCCAAATGCTGGTGTCAATCGAGCCAACAGAGCATATGCCATGGCCTGCGGAACGACTACAAGGCCAACAGTCACACCTTGATCGCGTTAGTGGATATCTTAGACCAGTTTGGAGTAACTTTAGCGGCTCACCAGCGATAACATCGCCAACCAACCACGGTAGATTATACCTCTTCACCCACTGCGCACACGGAAACAGTTCCCTCACGTACTCAGCAACCCCTGCTGAAGACGGCACCAATCCGCGAAACCATTCTGCTACCGAGGGATCCTCTTCGAGATACGCGTGGCCGATGCTCTCTATCGCTGCTCGTTCCAGTGAGGCTTGTTGCTGGCTGCGGTCTTCCGAGAAGCTGGGCAAGACCTTCGTCGTCGCCTTGTTGAGGAACGACTTTAGCGGTCTTCCACTCATGGTCAGGCCAGGAACAAAGAACGCACTCTGAGGCGACGGAGAGCATGAGGCAGAATGGCTAGCGTGTTGTATGTACGTCGATGTGAACGAGTCCAACGCGCTAAGACGAAGCCGTAGTAGCGTGGCCGCTGTGTTTAGAGTTGCATGTGAGAAACGGCGGCTCTCTTGAGCGAACGATAGTACAATTGCAATCTCAAGTTACGGCCTCTTGTCCTGGGGCCGTCACTGTTTTATCTAGCGCAGCTGTGGCCTCGCCCGACGAACCGATGACTTTGCGCGACCGCCCGGCCAGACTTTTGGCTCGTTCGGCCAAATTGTGGAGTGTTACGGCCGTACAGGCCAACGGTAAGAGGTGTTTCGGGGCTTTATGATGCGGCCCCTTCCACCTTGTGCTGTGGATTAGAAGATCATGCTATCCTTTTCCCATCAATGTCGTGGTATTGGCTAGTCGGCCAAAAAGGTACATATCAACACGTCCATGTACATAGCGGTGACAAACGAGTCCAATTACGAGTTGCTCAAGCGCTGTCTGATCAATAGAGAGCAGAAAGGCTAACCAAGCATGGCTACAAACAAGTGAGAGACAGACCGTTGACGAGGGCGAGGGCGAGGCGGTGACGATGCGTGCATGGGTGAAGGTCAATGTGTCACAAACGAGAATATCTGATACGACAGCTTGGCACGGTTTATGCCCAACCCAAACCTCGGATAAGACAACCTGAAGATGGACACAGTATGTCCACATCACTTTTTCATGCGTTGGGAGAGGTCAAACTATGGAGCTACTTTGAATTTTCAGGTCATGGCGAAATGTGCACATATGCTACTCGGATCACGTGAGCGGACCTCCCAGAAGCCATCCGAGCTCTCAGAGACCTGGGACGGCAACAGTGATTGTACTGCGAGCAGAACAATCGAGATCTTCCAATGCTCTGCTACAAGATACAAGAAAGCAAACCAAGCACCCGAGTGGCACGAATACGTAAGTATGAGAACAAGATTCACCCTCCTGGGCCCGAATGATTTACGTAATACCCGTGGCCGCGGAATGCAAGAACTGAACATCTGCCTACCCTTTGGACGACGAATTTCGCCTTCCCTTTATATCAATCTTCTTTCTTTTGTCCATTGGCTCCTTTACACTGGGGCAAGCACTGACATCGGACAGGTCATTTGAATGGTATGATTGATGCCCCTCAAGCAGCACAGCTTAGAATCTCAACATGGTACGCGGAAACCATTTCATTCCGATTAGAACTTGGTGTACCCTACATTATTCGTAGTAAGGATGCCATGAAAATGCAGCTCGTCACAATCATGAACGCCATCGCAGTCGTTCTCGTCTTTAAATGACAGTTCGTAGATTTCATCCTCTGTATACTCCTCAAACGTGCCGTCTCACGTTACTAGCACTCCAGCAGGTTCATCTAATGGTCTTCGAGATATTTGGGTTCATCCAAAGCTTCATCGATTTGCATCCAGTCATAGTCCCCCTCTCCAAGTAAAGCATGCAAAGGCAATGGCCGAAAGACCGCTTGCGAAACAGTTGTCCCCTTGGCATGGTTACGTTAAATAGGGTGTTCCACGGGTCTGTTCACGATGCTTGTCAGCATACACACTGATGTAGGAGGAGCTGGTGGCCCAAAGTTGTAGGATCTATGATAGGCTATTGGCAGTGTTTAATACAGTTGGATCATGCTAGTTTTCGAGTACGATGTATACAGAAGACTATGCATAACAAGAAAATTCCTTGATGAATTCTAATGATCGTGCATAGAACAAGGCTTTGATATATTTCCACAGTTACATACGTCGAGCAGTTGCAGTCAATTTGCGCTCGAGAACTCAGCCAGGCCAGTGCTAGTAGTTGTGCTTAGCGTTATGTAGGCACGTATTTGTAAACATTGAATATTCCAAACGATAGTGACTTCACTACGAGACAATAACTTTTCGTGACATTCGCACCAACCATGAGGGAATACGCATACAATTTCATCTGTGCGTCTCGCACTCACCACTACCCATAGTCTACCCAAAAAGGACAAGTCCAAATACGCAACACCAAGGAATATCGAATATTCAGCCACCCAATTTATCCCTTCTCCTCCAAACTTTTCACCCTCCAAATCAACTTCTTAAACTCCCTCAGCCGCGCCATCGCCTTCTCCAAGAATTTCCTAACACAAGAATCATGATCCGCCTGCAGTTCCTGCACGTGACCCGTCATCTTCTTATATCCATCCATGTCATTCTTCTGCCGCTCCTGCCCGCAGTACAAATCCGGCGTCCGGTACGCCGTCTCGTACATTTCAGACATCTCGTTGAGTTGGGTGATATTCTCTTCATCGCGACGGAGAGCGCGGATGGAGAGTTCGCTTCTCCGGACAGATCTCAGGAGATCGTTGATCTCGTCGTTCTTCTCGTATTTTTTGGAGAGATGTTTCATCTTGGCGGAGAGTTTTGCAGCGGCGGTGGCAAGATCGGCCCAGGTGGTGCAGTTGAGGTTGGAGAGGGTGGTATTTATGCAGTTGGTGAGCCGGTCAATGTACACTCGTCTGGTGGCGGAGAAGGCTTTCATGGTTTGGTTGAAGCTTGGATTAGGAGAGTGTTGTGGATGGAGTGTTATTGAACGAGTGTTGAATATATAGTATTGTATGATAGAGATGTACAGCTTTGATTTCCGAAAGAACTGTGCGGGCGTAGGAGGTTATGTATGGTTTGGAACGTGAACACACTGACATTACGGTTCGAATATATTCCTAGCGCCAAGCTAAGTAAGACGGAAGCTGCACGATGTTTGGTCTGGAAGTATCGTGACTACCATATGAATATTTTGCAGCGCAAGACTAGCGGTCTAACTATGGCTAGTGAGCTCATGAGTGTGCTGTACCCAAATTACTCTCGATTCGCTACAACAGGTCCACGATAATGAACATTGCATTGATGTGCTGGGATGTGGGTATTCGAATCTAGAGAAAGGAAAACCATGCCGCGTACTACCACGTACGGAGCCAGAGTACCACCACAAAACTGCGTAAGACACCATGGTCTCCTCCTCGTTTTGCCTGAACTGCTCCAAATCATGGTACCTACCAATTCCATTGTCGTGCCTCGTCCGACCCGATAGAACCATCCGTCTGTGGCATTCATGGCGAATATATCCCTAGGTCTCCCACGTGCGGTTGGCATTACTAGTCATCCGATGATTGACATCTATTGTTCAACTGCTCTGGTGTCTCGATTAGCAAAAATGATCAAACACACAAATCCAAATGATCACTTTTTCTTTCCAATCCAACATTCCCAGCCTTCTATTTCTTGATAGGTCGCGATGGATCTTGGCTCAAGTACCTTCGGTCTGGTTGATGGTCGCTGATGCCTGTTGAGGCCGTCGCCATAACCACTTGCGCAACGTGTTTCGCATCATACGCAGGCTGCGCAATCACTGGCACTGCGCGGAGCTCGGGCTTCGATATCCAAATCATACTCCAGATCTCGCCCGCAATGTTGAGTGCGTAATCAACCGCGCCCTGCAACATTGGCCAAATGGGTTGCTGGTAATGGTCGTCCATGGTGCGCGTTCGCTTACGTGCTGGTCTTCACACAGGATTGACCGTACTCTGTCGGCGTGTTGCGAGTCGTCCCGGGCGCAGTACGAGTTCCGAAATCGAGGTATGAAAGCTTTCGACTGTTGTTGGTAATTTCTTCGAGAGGGGAGCAGAGGTTCCAGAAGGTTCAGGAGCAAGTGTCGGGCGCCAAGAGATAAGGTGACAGATAAGGAGGGGGGGGGGGTGGTACTGTACTACAATTCAAGTCACTGGAATAGATTTGGATTACATTCAATAGGTTCCAAGGAAAACTTTTATTCTTTTAAGGTCTTGTTGGTATGCTTTAATCTTCTATCACGTGCTGCTGGGATGTCCAGGGAACGTCATCCGTTTGTGACTAGCAGTCCATGCGCCGTAATTCCCGAACGCCATATGAATATCATGGAACATAAACCTATCACGCAATAATGCAAACCCAAAGAGTACCGAAACCGCGGTCAAGGTGACACAGCTATGCGGTGATAGCACCGATCTTGTACCTGAGCGCCGTAATCTTAGCTTTCTTGTTTCCGCGATTGACAGGCATATCTACCGGTAAGGCGCGGAAGATGCCGTCAAGTTGCGCGACGCTTAAGTTCTCAATGGCATTGCCGGTCTCAGGAAAGTGTGGGATAGGTTGGTTGGTTGTAGCGTGGTGGAGAGGACAGAGTGGCGCGTCACCAGCGACAATGAGCTTGTTATTCAGGGCCGCGAAGGTGTTGAAATTTGTTGCATCCAATCGCGTGGATATCGTGTGGAGGTTTTCTTCAATGCGGTGAATGCTTACATCGACCCGGGCGAAACCAGTCGTGACCTGAGTGTCCAAGCCAGTAAGACGAGCGTCCAAGCCATCGAGACGGGTGTCCAAGCCATCGAGACGGGTGTCCAAGCCATCGAGACGGGTGTCCATCCTGTCGAGACGGGTGTCTATCCTGTCGAGACGATCAGTTATGCCTCCAACCATCTGGACGATGTTGTCAAGTTGCCCCTGAAGCGCGGGGACATTACCAATGCGGCTCACCTCCGCTGCAAAGTTGTTGAGATTTTGAGTAGCAAAGGCGAAGTCGGGTTGGGTTAAATTGTCCTGAGCTGGGCCGGGCTGAGTTGGGTGGTTCTGCATCGTTGTAGTTGTAGCTTTGTGTCTTTGTCTTACGCTGATGACACATGTGCGTGGTGCAGGTTGAGGAGATCAGAGAGGCAAAGTGAGCTGGAGTGGCATTGCATGGGAGCAGAGGTCTTTATAGCTCTAGGGACTACGTCGTGTCGTTTGTGTGCTGATGGTCTGTGGGCTGGTGCCTGCGAGAGTTTGTCGGTGGAAAGTAGGGACTTACCATCTCGTCCGTTAGGTATGTGTTAGCGTAAGTCTGCGGCTTCCCGTAGTCGCCATGTTGCCTCGGGAACGTACCTCGAATCAACACCATTTGTTTCTCGAACAAGACGACTATTTAGAAACAGAAAAGAAAAGGGTGTTTAAGCATGAATGTTCGGGGTGTGGGCGTGAAATCAGAAATCAGAGAGTTAGAGTAACTCCGCATCAGGTAGTCACAGATTCTGGAAAACGGCCCAGAGGAAGGATTGAGAAATATGTGTATTGAAAAGAAAGACTTGTATGAAATCTAATAAGAAATATGAAAGAGCACAGAGATCTAATAAGAAGTATGAAAGCAAACCAAAACTCCAATGAAACCCCATTCTTACCCCGGCAATTTAAGCACCGCCATGAGGGAGAAATTCGGCACAATCCTATACTGACAATCTAAGAACCCCCATGAGGAAATATTTCTGCACAATCTTGCACTGGCAATCTAAGCATCGTCATTAGTGAAGAACTCTGCACGACAGAATGCGCAGCGGTAGCGGCTGTTGTAGGCGGAGTCGAGCTGCTGTTGCAGACAATTTGCACAGACTTCATGGCCGCAGATGTTGATGGTACGGATTTGGTTCTGGGCTTCGCCACAGATGGCACAGGTTTGGTCCCGTGGAAATAAGCAGCGCTGGCTTACATCTGTGACTTGGACATTCTCGGGACCGGTGAGAATATCATTGCCATACTCATCTGGTTCATATTCGGGGAATTGTCCATCCTCATCGTCTTCATCATCATCATCCTGGTCGTCCTCATCCTCATCATCCTGGTCGTCCTCATCATGATCATCCACATCCATGTCGTCTTCGTCTTCAAATTCCCCGTCATAAAATTCGCCGCCGAAGAGAGAGCCAGGCAGAGGGAAGCGATCGTCGAAAAGTGGCACGGAGTCGATCAGAGCTGACGGAACCTCGTGATGACGGTTCAGCAGAGGTGAATAAAAAGAGAAATACTCAGCAACGCCCCGGTAGAATGTCCAACAGAGGCTGTCCAGGATCACTTCGCGGCTTCGTATATCTCGGCGTCGCACGGAAAATACGCCATCTGTAATTTTGATCAGTGCCATGCGAATACAGGTTAGTAGGGAAGTGGATGAATTCTCTTCCTCACCAGCCCGCATTAGAGAGATGAAGCTATCGCCTGTTAGGCCATCTGGATCGTTGTCTCCCAGGACTTTCAGGCTAGTTTGCTTATGGATGTAGTCTTCGAGGTCGGTCTGAATCCACGCAGCATAGGCTCCAATTTCCTGTCGTATCGTCGTTACAGTCTGCAATTCGCCTACCTCGTCGAGTTGATCCATTTGCACATCCACTTCAGTCAGGAATTGGCTTATAATGTCGCCCGTCAAATTGCGAAGCTTCACGACGAGCTGCGTGCCGAAAGGATAATCGCCCAATGGACCCGAAGGATAGTGAATAGTCTGGAGAGATAATTTTTCCATGAATTGATCAACGATTGCCCATAGGTACGCGAATTCCTGCTTCTGACGCTGGCTTGCAGACGGATGGTTCACAAGGGCCATTGCAGAATCCTTGAGCAGCTCACGATGCGCATTGGTCAAAGGCACGTCATCCCAGTGATGAAGATTTGAGTAATTGCCCACACGCTCGTATAAATAGTGCAGTGTTGTGCGAAATTGAAGCCCAAATCCGGGTGCTATGTCGCCAGCTTGATCCAATCGTGCCAGTGCCAATGTTGCCCATATACAACAAAGGCCGTTGTTGAGCTCGAGGCGCGGAATTTCAACGCCGACATCCGGTGCGGGAATCATCGACGACATTATGTTGTCAAAGACTCGGTAGAATGCAGCGGTTGCGTTAATGTTTGCGTTTTCGAAGTTGAGATAGATATTTGAGTTGCTTCTGGAATATGTTTTTGAAAAATTGCTGAGAGTTGAGGTTGAGTTTTCGAATCTATCGGTAGGATCTGTTGTGAGTGCTCTCTAGGTTTTGACCACGGTTGAGAGCGTGCTGTGAAATTATTTTGAGATGAGATAATTCCGCGCTATATAGAAGAAGTGATTGACAGTGTTGAACTTCATTGGGGCTCGTATGTGCAGGTACGATGTATAACTACACAGTGTTTACCATACTTTTCCGCTCTGACTATGGGTAGTTCTAGAGTGAATACCGCGCAACATTGTGGATTCAAAAAGAACACTCCGTCAACAGCGCGACATTCGTGCACTTTGTCATCGTGGTGGTGAAGAAGTCGAGTGAAATGGACATTCTCGTGCGAGATTGCACAGTGTCAAATGAAGCCCCAGACCTCCTGGCCACGAGCATTTCGTCGGACTGTTGGTCCCTAGAATCATGCATATTGCCAATTGCTTTGTAAGGTACTGAACCTTTGTCAACTTAGGAACTAGATAAACTAGTATGGTATGGTACCATAAGCTAGACTCCAAACTGAATTTGCTTTTAGCTACAGAATCTGTACACTGATGCTGCCTATCAGAAGTACATCATAGTCAACAACTACTGTTTCCATGACCAATTCAAGTGATACGGAGCTTAGTTGTTTAAAAGTAGCATCGTCAGGTGACATAAGCTGCAAGTAACAACTTCTGATGTTACCTCAAAAGGCGAACCTTTGCAGTATCCGACAATGAGGAGGGCCCAAATTTAGTGTGTAACGTGATCATATTGTTCTAGTCTAGGAAGATGGGAGCTATCTATGGGCAAGCACCGCCAAAAGGCTATCGGTAAGCCCATTCAAGAGTCACACGTGACCGAGATATCCATGACCACAGCAAGCTTTCCCTCCCCTTGTTCATTCAAATCACGGCGGGTTGTGATAATGTAGCACATTATATGTGCACTCATGAAGCTTTCGTTATATTTCCCATATACGTGTATTCTATCGTTGACTGATTATTGTAACAACTCCGACTGAAAGAGCGTACGATCGGTCAGCTCAAGGTTAGTCGTCTGTAGAGTGCGTTACGTGTCCAGAAGATACTATGGTACTATGCAAAAGTGCTCACCGTGGGTCTACTTGCAGGGGTAAAGTAGGGCCGTGCTCACGGAGATTAGAAACACTGTATTCTAATACTTTTCATGCAAATCCATAGTAATTTGTATAGTAATCAATGCACCCCTAAGTTTCTCGATGTTTCTATCTCTCAGTCCTCAACCCCTATTACTACCCCTACCACCACCTCTACCACCACCTCTATCACTACTTCACTATCACCTCTATCCAGGGGTATTTACCCTATTACCTAGCCAGCATTCAGCCCTAATCTCAATCCTATCAAGTCTATCTAGAATCAGATAAAAGATTAGATTAAATTCTACTATCTAGGCCTACCTACAGGGCAACAGCCCTTATACGAACGACTACGAGAGATTATACGCGTAGCCTGGGACTTAATCACACCTAATTAGCTCTAATTATTAGTAAATAGTGTAAGGGCTCGCTGCCAGGCAGTGATTAAAGCCTATGGTGGGCATACTAAGTATTAAGAAACTTCAAGAAATGAATATATTACTATATCACCCCAGTCTACAGAGGTGGCTTTTAAAAGTTCTTGCTAGCGTATTTATTAGTAGCTAATCTATTAGCCTTACTTTCTTAGCCTATATATACTTAATTTTAAAGCTATAGATAGTAGTAGTAATAGTTTATCTACTTAATCCTTTAGTATTTATACTCTACTATAGCTCCTAATACTAATCCCTATACCTATACGCTTATTATAACTCTAAAGTTACCTTTTAGTAGTAAATCTATTACCTAAATTAGTACTATTATAGGTATTTTACTATATACTATTAACTTAATCTATAGTAGAGCTTACTAATATAGCTTTAAGCTAAATTTACCTATAATAAAACTTCTTCCTAAATACCTTAAAGACGCCCCTTATACTAGCTACCCTTATAAGTAAGATACTATCTATAATACTACTCTTTTATAAGTATACTAAAATAGATATAAAAAAAAGAAGAGCTATACTAATATAGCTAGTAATCTTAGTCTTTATAAATATAATATATTATTTACTATAGTATAAAGAGTCCTAAAAGTAGCTAGATATTATAAGATAAAGCCTATAAGAAAGCCTAGATTAATAAAAAAGATAAGATAGGATAGACTTAAGTAGTATCTTACCTATTAAGGCTAGACTCTAGAGAACTAGAAGAATATTATCTAGTTTAATAAGACTTCTATCCTACTTAACTACTATTATAGTAGCTACTATATTTAAAGAAAACCTGTGGAAATTTAGATTACTAAGGTTAGGAATAATTTAGGAGATGGATTATTAGATTGTATCTACTACGATTGGACTTATATATATAGAGCTTTAGCTACCCTTACTAGAAGGTGAATAATTAGTAAACCTTCCTTACTAGAGCTCCTACTTTTTATTAGGCACTTAGCAGTAAGCTAGCAGTTAATTAGATAGTAGGTTATATAGGGGTATTAACTAGGATTAATTAGGATTAATTAGGATTAAGATGCTCTATAATCTAGTTAATATCCCTCCTATAATATATCCCCTAGGTGTAGGTAGATCTTTTATTATTATAGTTACGCTTATAGTTAGTAGGTAGTATAGCTAATTAGAGCGTTATATATCTAAAGGGTTAAATTAGCTTACCCTTTAGATACTAACTAGCACGCCTTCCTTATTTAGCCTACGCTTACACGCGTAGATATTATCTAGATAGAGCTCTATAACTCTATCTACCTAACTATAATCTTTTACTATAGCTTAAGTTATAAGATTATATAACCCTAAAGATCTAAACTATACCTATATCCCTACTAACCTATATCTTAGTTAAAGTTAAAACCTGCTACTTACACTTACTTTACCTACACTACCCTTATTACCTCCTACGTAGCTAAAGCTATAGTTACTAAAGCTACTACTACTAAAGAAGAGTATACTACTACTAAGCGTAAGGCTATTATAGAGTGTGCAGTAGCTAAGCGTGTAGCTACTACTACTATAGCTAAGATTATAAAGCTAAGGTAAGGCGCTCCTACTCTAGCTTCTACTACTCTAGCTCTAACTCTAGCTCCTACTCCCCCCTAGACCCTGCCTAAGGCCCCTATTCCTATGCCTGCTCCCTCTCTAGCTCCTAAGGAGACCCTAAGATCCTCCTACTATAGAGAGCCTAGTATTTATTATACTAAAACTTATCTAAATTATCTACGCTTAGCGCTCTTTAATAAGTCTAATAGCAAGTGCTATAACTTTTCTAGTAGGGGGACTTAGTACTAGTAGTGCTTCTCTAGGTATAGCTATATCCTAATATATATAATCTATACAAGAATTTTTCCTTTATAATACTTTTAGTAAGATCTTATACTAATAAACTAATTAATAGCCCTAAGCTTGCCTAACGCTCTATACTATCCTTCCTAGCAAGGAAGTAGGCAGGTAAGAGCTAAGACCTTCTTAAGGATAAGAAGCAAAGGGTCTTAGTGCTTCTTAAGGAGAGCGAGGCTAAATAGCAGGAGCTAGTAAAAGCTACTACTGCTACTACTAAGCTTGCGCGCAAGGCTACTTCTATAGCTAAGGGCGCCTAGAGCTCCTTATTAGAAGATAAGGACTCTAGCTCCTCTAAGGTTCCCCCTATAGATCCTAGGATAGGGTAACCTAGGCGGCTCCCTATAGACTCTAAGGCACGCTTTACGCGTATAATAGAGCTCCTTAAGGAAGCTACCTAGTTAATAATAGAGAGGTAGGCTATAGTTAGTTATTCTTATATTATATATTAATAGATCTTATATACTACCTTACTTTAATTAACGCTATATAATATATACTCTACTATTATATAACTTTAGGTGCTCCCTAAACCTTATAAATTATTATATAGTTAGGTTTTTAGTAAGCCTATTAGCTAGTATATTGCTAGTAGGTAGGTAGGCAATATAGAAAGATCCCTTTACATGCTCTTGCCTAAGCTACATGTTTTAAATATCTACATAGCGCAGCTTAGTAGTAATCCTTTTATTATTACCTACTACTAACCTAATAGTTTGTTAATTATTACAATTAATTGTCTAGGTAGTATCTAAAGTAAGGTGTATTTTAGTTAAAAAGCGTTTTAACACTATTGCTTCTTTACTTACTTACTTAAGCGCAAGGAGCTCTACCTTAGTAGTTAAAGTGGTAATAGTTAATTGTTAAGCTGCCTTCTAAATAATAGGTCCTCCAAAGAGCGTGATTAGGTATCTATGTAATAATCGCCAAGTATTAATATTATTAGCAAATAACGCATTACTATATATTATAAGCTTATTAGGATCCCTATTCCTATATTAGATTAATTAGTATCAAGTTTAGTATAGATAGATAATTACTTAATTAACCGCATTAAAGTGTTATTTAGATAGGTTAGTAAGGTATTAGGAGAGCTAGGAGGCTGCATAGGCAATATCAGGGCGCACTATAATTAAGGTGTAAAGGATTAATCCAACGCGCTCCTAATAGTCCTTGATCTCCTTTTTAGTGGCTTCTCTAGTGCTCTTTTTAATATCTTTACTTAATAGTAGTGTAGCAGGGAATTTTCCTATCTCTGCTAGATTAAATTTCTTTGTAATCTTGTTAATGTATTTATTATAAACAAGCGTTATTATCTGTCTCTTTCTATCCTAGATTACTCTTACCCCTAGAAACCAGCTTATAGGTCCCTTCTCTTCTATAGTATATCTTTGCTTTAGAGCTTAGATAACCTTGTAAGCTTAGCTTGCGTAGTTTTAGTAATAGAGCGATAGGATATTGTTTACATAGAATATTAACAAGATACTACAATCTCTATTAAAGAATAGGCATAGCTCCTCTTTAGAAGTAGTAAGCTTATTTTCTTAGAGTGTAGTTAAGAGCTTGTTATACTATAATAATAGTAAGTCTTTTAGTCTATATAGAGCCTATTTAAGCTTAACGCACTTCCTAGGTATTTAATATCCTTTAGGTAGCTTGTAGATAACTATAGGGTATTAATCTGTTAAGGTATTAAGGAAAGCTCTAACAACGTTATATTAATATATCTTAAGGTTAAACTTAGCTCTAATAGCTATTATAGTCCTAAAGGTTTAAGCTGCTAGGGTAGCTACGTAGGTTAAATAAATTAAGTTAGTAAGCTATAGATCTCCTCTTACTACTATCCTTGCTTTACACTTAATTAGGTAACTATCCTAATTAAGCTTGTATGTAAACACCTATTTAAGTAGGAGTAGACACTCTTCTATAGTTAGCCTATTAATCTCCTCCTAGGTACTAGCTTTTAGCAGAGTATTAATTTCTTTATATACTGCGTCTCTAAATTACTATCCTATTTAGTGGTTATAGAGATCCTTCTATTATTTTAGCTCTTTTTATAGAGCGTCCTAGTGCGTATTTCTTTTAGGGTTTTTAGGGGATTTGCTCCTTATTACTACTATAATTATAGCATAGATTATAGTATTTAGTTTAGGATATACTAAAAGATTGTGTAAGGGATTTCTAATTAGATCTATATCTAATAGATTTATTACTATAT